GTTCAGAACGAGCAGCTAGATGGCTAGTTGAATCCGCACACGAACAGGTCCACCAGTGGTTGGTGGCCTGTATGCATTTCATGGCGAATAATGTACGTGTAGTCTTGTCTAAAGTGCTGGAACCGTTGGCTTCGAGGTCCTGTGTGATGCCAACCCATCGTGGTCACCGGGAGAGGGGTAATCCAAAAATAGTCGAAGTTTCGTCACAATGTCTTCGACCTGAAATTTCACCAGATTGTATATGGTTCCTAGTTCCTTCTTTTCTCACCCTAGATCACCATCCAAGATAACAATGTGGTTTGTCTCAACCGTCGGTTTATTCTTTCCTGATTTTTCCAGATTGTTTGGTGAGGAATTGCCCGCCCAACTCAGCTCTGCAGATTGGAAGGAACGAAACGCAGCTGTCCAAGAGTTACAATCACGGTGTACTGCAATCGGTTTGTCCGACCTGCCTACTCAGGTCGTATGCCGGACAGTTATGCGAAAACCTGGTTTGAAGGACACCAATATCGTAGTAAGTGTTTTTAGCCACGATCAATGGTGTGGTTTCTAACCAGCAGAACCTCCTCTGCCCAGATGATATCAACTTGGATTGTGAGGAGCTGCTTTCGGTTAGACGGAGTCCATGTCTTCATGGATCCCATCGTCACGCTGCTTAGCCTGTAGTTACATCTCATTGGAGCGAGGAAGCTCCAGACCATGCATTTGTAAGCCCTACCAACTTCAGTGGGGGGGGGGCGAGATAGCTCAGGGTTCGAGCGCGAAATTACTAACCGAAAGGTCCGTGGTTCGAATCTGATCTCTGCCTCTCGAATTCCCCTGTCTGGGCTTGGGCAACCTGGCAGTATGCTCTCTCTCTTGCTTCCTCCTGGTTGCATGGCGGTTAGGCACCGGAAGGGTGCCACAGCTGAACGATTTTATCAACCTCAGTGACCACAACATCTCCACAGCTGAACGATTTTATCAACCTCAGTGACATAACACAACATCTACAGTATCCGGATTGGAATTATCGTGAAATGGCGTTGAAATGTTATGTCGTTTGCCAAGGTTGAGGTTTTAGGCTCGAGCCTTAATAGGAATAATAATAATCTCTCAGCTGTGACTCCTTTTCGGTGCCTAGCTGCCACGTCGCGCGAAAGAAGCACGAGGACCGAGATACTATCATATTGCCCAAACCCTAGTGTTAGGCTTGAACAACTTGGCAGTATCCTGTCCCTCGGGTTTTGGGTGGGATAACAGTTAGACACCGAAGAGGTGTTACGACTGAACGATTATTATTACATGGGTCAGCCAGAATTCGCCGATTTCATGCGGGTTAGGTTTACTGGCTGTTGCGGCGCTCAGTATCCGCCAGACCTTCAGCGATTAGTGTTTACTGAGACGTTTGATGGGTGTCTTGTGTGCTTCCTGACAGAGTGAGTCACGTGATACGACATGACATGCAATCGGTGTTTTCTTTCCTTTTCCAAGGTGTTACGGTCTCGTGTGGAACTGCTGCAATCTGTGCTGGATGCGGCGAAATCCGTGTCTTCCAACCTGTCGGAACTTCTCATTCCAGAACTCCTAGACAAGATTGGCGATGCCAAACTCTGCGAGTTGATCAAAGCTGTGTTAACCACCTTGGCCGAGCGGTGTGACTTTCCCTTTGTTGGCTCACAGATTCTGAAATCGGTGAACCAGCTGAAAAATCCACGTTCACAGGCAGACACGGTGAACTGGTTGTCACAGGCTATCCGGGAATTCGGCATGAAGTGAGCTACTCATTGTGCTACGTAGCTTTCATCAATGAGTTGTCCGGGGTACTCACTCAATACCCCTTTGTTTCAGGTTACCGCCACAGGATCTCATCGCCGCATTACGGAGTGGTCTAAACGCTACAAACCCTGCAGTTCGTCAAGCAACTATATCTTTGGCGGGCTCAATGCATTTGTTCATGGGAGACCCTTTACGCAACTTGCTTGCCGATGAGAAGCCAGCCATCGTCTCCCTTTTGAGTGCCGAGTTTGAGAAGAATGCTGGCCAAAAACCGCCGGCTCCCATTCGTGGTCAGCGCAGTGGAACTTCAGGAATTGCGGGTCAAGGAGACGAGAACGAGGGGGCTGAGGGGGTCACAGAACCCGTGACAGAGGAGATCGATGCCGAGTCTTTCCTGCCTAGAGTTGATATCCGGTTAGTTTAGCTTTATCACATTGGACGACTGTTTGGTGTGCGATTGTTTGCCATTCCATGTACGCACTATTCTCTTATTAGCTCACCTACATTCTATCCAATATTTCTGTTCAATAACCCTAACTTACTGGCGCAGTCCACAGGAGTCTAAGGTCCAACGCTGTCTACGATGATCCAAACTTGAGAAACGCAATGTCAGTGTGACTCAGATGACGACAGCTATTTCTTTAAACCATTATCTCCATAGATGTAATACACTACTCATAAGGTTGCTGAAAACCCTTCAATTGCCCACAATCGGTTTCGCCCTTCTTGGATCTCATCAGGTAGGCGCAGTCCCAGAGTTCCCGTCAACTATATTCTACTTGTTGTAACTTGGTGGACGATCGTTCAACTCTGTATCGGTCTCTCGGCTTCCTGCTCCGCCCGCTATGGCACGGTAGCGCTACACAGCCCTTTATGGAGACAAGGGAAAACTATTACAACTGTATTCATGGGGCAGCCACAGAGTGTTCCTCAAGGTCGTGCCAGAATCGCCGTGAGGGGGGCGAGAAGCGTCGAGTCAAATGTGCTTGACTCGGATTGGCATTCTGACCAATCAGGGCATGCCTTCTTTTGGCCCGTGTCCTACAGGTGACACATCCGTCCAAATGATGTGTTCGGTTGTTAGGAGCGGCTGACCTCTGTACACTACTTGGACCCGAATTGAACGAATTTCGACAAATGCACTCATTTGCATAAGGGAGACTCACCTGGAATTCAGGTGCATCTCAGTTGCCTAAAAATATCATAGTCGAGAGATTCAGCTGGATTCTAGGTGAGTCTTGCGTCAAAACCAAATTGCCATTATCTCTATAGTTTATTTTGCTACTCACAAGTAAGAAAAAGTGATAAAATGTAAGCAATAAGCAGCAAAAGCTAGTCCCAAGGTGTAAAATGTCTTGTGCAAACACATCGTACACCTGGTCATTTAAAAGAAGCATGAGAGTTTCTTGGTTCTGATATTTTGGGCAGCAATATAGCTGAAAAAACGAATCAGTTGGGCAAGTAAAGCGTCATTGACGAGTTCAACTCGATTTGGCTTGCCGCTTTATCTTGCGTGCGTAAATCAAACATTCGTCGCAGTGTTAGTCACTAGTTGGACTGCGGTACCCCTTGGCTGTTGTGCGTTAATTCATGGATTGCAGTAGAGTAACTCATTTTCGCGGAATCTTAGTCCTCCCCACTCACATTCGAATGTAAAGAGAAGGGTTCCATCTAACGTGACGCGTTCTACTCCACTCTGACTTTGCTCAAATCATATCTGGAAATGTTCGGCTTCCTGAATCTCAGTTGAGACAAGACACCTGATTAGTCAGCTGTGTACAATTTGGTCTTTGAACATTCCTTGCCTCTCATGCATACATTCCACTTCCAACTATCCCCTTTCTGTCCGTTTCCAGGGATAAACTCACTCCAAACATACTTGAAGGTTTGGGCAGTAAAGCATGGAAAGAGCGACAGGAGGCATTGAATCAGATACAGGAGATACTTCAGTCGGCCAAACACATCGAAGGTTCCAGCGGAGGCCTACAACCAACTTTCAACGCCCTGGCCAAATTGTGCTCGGATGCGAACAAGATTCTGAGTAAAACAACCTTGACCTTACTAGGGGAGTTTGGCAAAGCTTTACCAAAATCCGACGCTTCTGGCTATTTGAAGTAAGTTTCAGCCTAGAAAGCTTGTTTTGATTTGGGGTTTTACCTCAGCAGACAAACGCAATATCCGATTTCTTTAGTTACCATCAAATTTATTCCGATAAGCTTGGTTTGTTGGCTGTAACTGAACTCTCGGTTACTCTTCGCTCGATAAAAGCTGGCTAGTTTTGATAACTGAGTAGAACTTTTTATCATTGCGTTTCATATAAGAATCAGTACTCTTCCATCGAAATCTCCATCGAAAAAACACTTCCTTCAACACGGGGATTTCTTTCGTTGCAATCCCTCCTTGGGGGAACAATTTCCTGCACACTTGTTTCCTCAGGCGGTTAGTTTACTCCCTAGGGTCGAGTCGTGTTTGCTAATTTGAGACACCTATGGCGTCAGAATGGTTTATCCCTGAATATGAAGGGACGTGTGTATCAAGCTACAGTAAGGGCTGTTTTGTTGTATGGCTGTGAGACTTGGTCTATTCGAGCAGCGGAACTGAGACGTCTTCAGGTGTTCGACAATCGTTGTCTCAGAACCATAGCTCGTCTGGGTTGGTGTCGGCGTATACGTAATGAGGCAGTTAGAAAGCGCGTTTTCGGTTGTGCGACGGGTACTTCCATTGAAGAATGTGTGCAGCACCAGAAGCTGCGTTGGTTGGGACATGTATTACGTATGCCGAGCCATCGTTTGCCGAAGGGAGTGCTGTTTTCCATGCCCGATTCAGAGTGGCGTAAACAGAGAGGTGGCCAACCCTTGACTTGGAAGAGGAGTATGAAGGGGATCACGAAACGCTTTGGTGCTGTCGGTGCTACTCACCTTCCAGGATGGGGACCGCGTGATCTTCACTGTGTCTGTGTCACTGTTGGAGACACTGCAAGTTATGGCTACCAACCGATGTCAGTGGCGTCCTTGTTGTCAGTTTCTATTCAGATCGGCCGAGTAAGTGTCTGGAGGTGTGGGCACTTCGGAATGATTGTGTTAAGCTAGCACCAAGTCCTTTCCCAGTCCGCCTTTATTCTTTTCTTTACAATAAGGCTTTGAAATAAATAATGATTGTACGGCAGTGAAGCATCGGTGTTGAACACTGATGTCATACTGTCGATGACGATGGTGGGTCTCTTAGAGCACCGACCCAGACTTGTTGATTAACCTCAAAAGATTTGAGCCATAAGGTCAGCTGATATGTTTGGTTTTCCGCCACTCTTTTTGATCAGACCAGACTCAGATTAGCGGATAAGTTAGCCTGCACATGGGAGTTCGCGGTTGGAATACTGATTAAAATTAATATTGTTGACGAGTAGGATAAAAATTTACGATCACCCAGTGTTTTCTGAGCTTCCAGTAAATAGCTTTGATTTCGTTTCTACATAAAAATGCGTCTATGCAGTGATTTCTCGTATTTGCTAATTCGTGTTCAAGTAACTACCACTGGTTCGCAATGATAACGGAGATCTATGACCATAACACAGTTCATCTTGTTGTGCTCTAGAGGTATGTTGCGCGGAATCTTGCCTCTAGCCCGTTTTATCACTCGTATTACCGCCCTTTCCGACGATACAAACTCGAAAGTTTCTCATTTTTTTCACAATAATATTTTCCCACGACTCATTTTTCTCCATCAGGGTGGTTGAGCCTGCCATTTTGTTGTGCCTTGGCGACTCCAAAGTTCAGAATCGCGAGGCTGCCCGCAATGCCCTGTGTGCCTGGCAATCACGAGTCCCGTTCTCTGCATTGGTAGAAGACGAAATGATCTCCGAGGCACTTAAAGTACGTTCTACTCTTTATTGGCTTATTTTACTTTCAGCCACGTGCAATCACATCTGGCTTGTTTTTGTTCCTGGTTTTATCGATTCGACGTCCTGGTTTCATAATTTTAGTTAGAGAATCCTAATCTCCGGGCTGAATTACTTAGCTGGCTTACGGCTGCCCTGACCGACCTACCAGTTAACTACCGCCGACAGCTTCCGCCAAATTTGACGGAAACACTCATGCCTCAGGTCTTCGCTGCAATGGAAGATCGTAACCCAGAGGCTCGTAAGCAGGCTCAGCTGTCTCTTCCTCAACTGATCCGTGTGCTTGGTTGGGACGCAATAGCCAAAGCCGCTGGAAGGCTCAAATCCACTTCCAAGGACGCAGTCATGCCGCATTTGGAGAAGGCACGGGAATCGGTGAAAGATTCGATTGCGTCCAAACCAGCAGCAGAAACAAAGAAACCAACGATTCGCGGTGGCGGCGGTGGTGTGGCTTCTTCCAAAGCCGAATCGGCACCACCCTCACCTCCTCCTGGTAAGTGTTCTCGCCAAATAGTTATCCACCTCGTCTTTGAGACAGTCGAAATATCTCCAACTAGCCACTAATTTGACCATACCTACTTTCCGTGTACAGAAGACTCTGAGGATACTACCTCCTCGTCAGCTGCTCCTTCGGCCCGTGGTTCCAAGAAAAAACCGGATCCAAAGAAGCCAGCTTCCGCAGCCTCATCGAAACGTCCCGTTGCCGAGGAGCCTCCAGTCGTGGTTCTGATGCAGGCCAACAAGACAGCAAAAGCTGCTCGTCTGGCAGATGAAAAGAAACGCAAGGTACATACATAGGCTTGTACGATGAACCCCACGGTATCTCCAACCTTCTTTTTCTCCTAGATTGCCAACTTCACTTCATCATTCTTTTCTGCATCCTCAGCTTCTGAAATGGGAATTCGACACCCCGACTCGGGAACATGTGCAACAACTCAATCAACTTTTTGCCGCGGCTGGCACTGCTCCAGACCTGCATGCTTTGCTATTCCACACAGATTTCAAACAGCACCTCAAGGGGTTGGATCAACTGAATCGGTTTCTGGATACCCCAGAGGGTGAGGAGGCTACCCTTGTCAATATCGATCTAATTCTGCGATGGATTGTCCTACGATTCTTTGAAACCAATCCTGTGGTGATTGGCCGATGTAAGTGAAATGCTGTAGTCTTTTTCTGTCTGTTTGGTGCATGCTTGTTAGTTTCTTGATATGGTTTGGGTGTAAAAGTTATTTTCCCATGGTCACTTACCGTCTTCGATAACAGTTCGATGGTAAGCAGGTATAGCGGGATTTCGAGATAGCTGACTGAGCTTGAGGTAGCTCAGTGATTAATGCTCGAACCTACTGACCGTGGTTCTATGCCTATCTCGACAACCTGGCAATAGTGTGACAGGTGGACATCAAAAGGGCGTTACAGCTGAACAGTTATCATGGTCATCATCAAGTGTAGTGGTCTGACCTTCGGCCAAAAAACTCCAATTAAGCTTATCACTTGTCAGGGCGCGCCCAGACAGAAGAAAAAGCACATGTGCAGAGAGTGACGCATCCCCAAGGTCATCATCGGTTCGACACGTCCGGAAAGTAGGCGAGTTGGCGGCTCCCACCAAACACGGCCTAGCAACACCCGACCAGCGTAGTGGGCCTGAGATTGTTCACGACCGGAACACAACCATTGGCTGTATGGAGCGAACAAGTGAACGACCATATTTGGCCGTTTAGTCATCCTATATATTTACGCAGAGGCTCTGTACGTTTTGTCCTGGCAATACAGCCGTGTCCCCCAGTTCTCTGTCTTCTCCCTATCGCGTAGTCTGGCAGGCTCAGTGCAGGCGTAACCCATAGCTCGGCCACCGCACAGATATAACATCACTGAATCCCCAATGATTTTTTTCGTAGTGGCGTCCGGTCGGTCTGGAATACCATTTGACAGCACGTTGAACGACTATGCTGAAGTGGGACGGCATTGAAGCATCAGTGTTGAACACTGATGTCATGTTGTCGATGATGATGATGATGATGATGTGCCGAATTGCTGATGAAAAAAGAGGAAACGATACCGCGCTGCCTAGTCCTGGTCGCTCAGCATGCGAGCAGGTTCCGACATATATCGGATTGTCCCAAATAGTTCAGTGGTTAAAGCGCAGATTAGCTGACCTGGAGGTCCATGGTGGGAATCCAACTCTCGACATCTCGATTCCTTCCGCTCTAAGCTTTTGAATCCTAACGGTATCTCAGTCCCATGCTTCCCTTGGCAGCTAGGCACCGAATGGGTGTTACAACTAAAGGAGACCAACCACTTAAATACTGCTATTCAGCGCCTTCTATACACAGCTTGCCTTTTGTTGCCCATCACTTCTGGTGTCCCATTGGGTTTAGCAATGTGTCCATTCGTGTGCATCCTGTATCGATAGCTGGTTCTGCCAATGGAAGATCATCAATAACTGACTTGTTACACTGATTGAACCAAGAAGTCCCATCAACGCACCACCCCTCACATCACACTTTGGGAAGGCGATAAGTCGTTTTTGATAGAGCGAGCTAGTGTTTCCTCGCCTACTGTCTTTGAATACAGTCCATGCTGTCTTCGGTATTCACAAATTGAAAAAAGATTTTCAACCATATGTTACTGAGAATCTCATTCGAGGCTAATACGGGTGAGGAGAGAGCCAAGTCAATTTTTCGGTGCCTAGCTGCCACGCTACCCGAAAGAGCACAGGAACTGAGGTACTATTAGGTTGCCTAAGCCTACGCAGAGGTTGGGTTCGAACTGTGGAGCTTCCGACCGGTAAGCCCGTCACCTAGCTACTGGGTTGTCTGCAGTTCGAAGAGTGAACCACTGGTTTTCAACTAACTTTTACCCCATTCGAGGTACGAGGTATCATCCAACCATAAACCGAATACAACGATCAACACAATATATGAATCAGTAATAGAACTCGAATACGACATCAGTTAGTACACTTCCACACATCCGTCTGTCTGAGTTAAACTAAAGGTAAGTCACTACTGTGACGTCAACAGCGACGATGATGCTTTTGAACGATCACGTGACCGGCTAGGAGGAGTAGATGACAAGTAACCTTTTAACGTGCATTTTTTGGAACTTTTTCGTGTTGTCTAAGGCTGATAAAAGACGTGCAATGTGATCAATGACCGGACCGGTTTGGAACGGTTCCTCAAGAATGGTGGATGCCTTTGAGAATGTTTTGTTACCTGGAGCTTTTATCTCAGGACTGAAGCGTGAAATTAGGAAGACTGAAAATTTTGACCTAGCATTTTCTTTCGTACGTGTCGGAGCTCCTTCTATAATGGTTATAAATGGATTTTGGATGGAACATAAAAAAAATATCACCATAAAACCTTAGATCCTTGTTTTTGTTTGGAGTGAGTCGCATTTTAGAGAAATTCTCCTGTACCGTATTTTTATCTCAAAGAGCCCGAAACTTGTGTTTATTCATCCCGTCGCGTGTGTGGAACGAGATTGACATGCTGATCGGTTTCATTTCTGTTCCATTCCACTCAACCTCTTTGTGCATTTCCTTTTCCTCTATAGGCTTGGACTATGTCACCAAACTTTTCTCTCAGCTCAGCGAATCTGGAGTAAGCCTGACCGAACATGATGTGGGCACCTTCCTGCCCTTCTTGGTGCTCAAAGCCGGTGACTCAAAAGATGCTGTACGACAGAGTGTGCGGGGTATTTTCCGTGTGGTTGTCAACCTCTATCCGCCAAGTCGACTGTTTTCCGCGTTGGCCAATGGAATGAAGTCCAAGATCAACAAAACCAGACAAGGTACGGTTACATGGCCGAACGAATGTTAATCTACCTACCTGTTCGATGGTTTGTATTGCTTGCGCATGATCTAAAAGTCTATGTACGGGGTGACCGAAAAGGCCGTACAACCACCTACCCGTGGTTTTTCGACTGCTATTGCTCCACCCCTCAGACAGTGTGGAGCCGATGACCCAGTCGGAATTCTTATTAAAAGCGACGCTTGTGGTAGTTGTACTCGTCAGTTAAAACAGCTGTGTTTCGAACAGTCCCCCTACTCTTCTGGTGCAGCTATTCTGGTGAGTCCACACCAAATCGGAGAAGCACAGGACCTTCGCTTATTAGAGAGTCAGAAGTGCGTATGCTTGGGATTTGAACCCAGAACATCTGGTTTGCTAGGCGACCGGGATACCCACCAACACAAGCTGGTCGCAGAAAAATGATCAGGTCCGAGAGACGAACATCATCATCATCATCAACGACAGCATGACATCAGTGTTCAACACCAATGCTTCACTGCCGTACAGCCATGACTTATTTGAAAGCCTTATTGTAAAGAAAAGAATAAAGGTGGATGGGGGAGGGACTTAGTGCTAGCTTAACACAATCATTCCGAGGTGCCTACACCTCCAGACGAACATATTCAGGCTTGAGCGATTGGCTTGGTCTCGAATACTGTCGTTCGAAGAAACTTACACCTTAGTCATGCATATTCGACTCTGGAGTTCTGGTGCTGTATCGTTTCGGTGATTCTTTTCAGAATTCGCTACTGCCTTCAGCTGTCACACTGCAGTCAGAACTGACCAACTCACTTATCCAGCCACATAGACCTCATTCAAAGAAAACATCTTTTAGCGATGATACCCCTTCAGTCATGGGTCAGTTGTCGAAACAGTTTCTCACCTCAATTTTCGTTCGATAAATCAATTCGAAGAATCGGCTCTCGCGGACATTCACCTCATAAATTCCTTCACAGGCATGTGGATCAGGTGTCTACTAGATCAGAAAACCACGTCACTCTGCTTTCGTAATTCCCCAATTCCTTTTCACTTTCCGTCGTTTTTGCAGAGTGCATAGACGAAATGGGTTCGTTGATCGAACGGTTTGGCGTCAATGTTTGTCAGCCCTCCGTCCCTGTGGCTCTGAAAACAATCAGTCAACAGATTGGAGACCGGGACAGCGGAGTTCGAACGGCAGCGCTAAATTCTCTGGTTTCAGCTTATGCACTCGTGGGTGAACAGTTGTGGAAGATCATTGGGAACGTGAGTCTACGTCTGTCCCTTGCACTTCTTGTTATCATCTTCGTCCAGTCGAAGTGATGAACCCATCGTCGAACTTCTCTCTACGAACTTCCATTTCTCGCATAACTAACTAGCGTAGTGTTTGCGATAGAGGCCTTTTCTGGCTACCTTCCCCTAGGACGAGATGGCCCAAGTGGTTAGAGCACGAATTTACTGACCGGAAGGTCCGTGGTTCGAATCCGACTTCCGCCACTCGACTTCCCCTGTCTAGTATCCCAGCCCTCGTGCTTCCTTCGGGTGGCATGGCAGCTAGGCACCAGAAGGGTGCTACAGCTGAACGCTTTTTCCCTTTTTTTAGGACTACTAACCGTGTAGGTAATACAAGTAAATTGTTCACTTTTGATATGATTTACTTCTTGTAAAAGATGGATTTTGTTCACGAGTGTCAGAGAGAAGCATTTCCTCATAATACGGTTTGGGTTCCTTACAGACGGGGTCTTGGCGCCATTTTTAGATTCTAACTGAGGTCGTATTTTCATCCGTAAACAAAAATTCAGCTCCCTGGGAATTACCGATTGTCCGTTCAGACTACAAACGTCCTGATGGAGGCCAGAATTCCCTACTCACGGCTCATCCTTCAGTTGTTGCATCCTGCTCGTGAATGCCTATCGTTCGGCGCTTCAGAATCATGAGGTTCGAGTTCATGCCAGGATGTCCGCGTATGGTTATACCTAAGCTCATTCTCCAATGCTGCTTCCGACCTTCCAGCTGGAATCTTGGGTTCTTTTCCGCTAACGGATTAGCCGGTGCACTCTAACAGGTTAGATAATATTGCTCAGCATTGTTATTGTCACATATTTCAGCCCAGAAGCTCTGTATGCCGATCATTCACGTATAGTCAGCAGTTAGAAATACCTCTGACGCGAGCCTGGTGACCAAGTCTTCCTCAGCTTACTTTGCAATAGACCTTTATGGGATGTTCGGTAGAGAGAACAGTCACTCCCCACGCACTATCCGCAAGTTTCCCTCAAGATAGTTGCTCTGCAGCTGAGATGTAGAATCCGTACGTGAGTTCGAGGAGAAGACAACAGGTTGGTCTAACGGGACGTAAGTCGGCAGCCGGTCAAGGACCCCCAGTTTTCCGACCCGACTTTACGTTATTCCTCCTTTTTGTGCTGTGCAGTTTCGCTTGCAGTGATTGCTTCCCTACGTGCTTGTTGTTTTTTTACTTTTCCTTCCATCTAGTTGTCAGACAAGGACCGTACAATGTTGGAAGAACGCATCAAACGTGCTGGACGACAGCCAGTGAGCTCATCCACCGAGCCCTCGGAACCCGTATCTGCCAGATCGATTGTCGATCGCAGAAACCGGTATGTTTACTTCCTTTTCTCGTGGTCACAAATCAGTCTACCATAATGTGTGTCGCTCCGCTCCTCATCTAGACTTCCGTCTGTCCACAGAGATCCCTCTGATCCTCGGCAACCTCCAGAAGTCGCTAGAATGGCCCCCAAAGCAGCTGCACCCATGTCTAGTTGCCACCAACGAGCTCTTGCAATGCTGAACGAACTGGGCGATTTGTCCCCAGAGAAGGCACCCAATATGCCACAGTTAAATAACTTGGATGCCGATATCTCCGACCTTTTCCAACCTATCGAACTACCCACATTGAAGTAAGTTGTCTGATTGGCTGTCCGAGGTTGCTTCTTGAAGGTCACACACACACAAGTTATCACCACTCAAGTGGCATCGAAGTACGAAAACACTAACCAGTAAACTTACCCCGGTGGGCAACTGCCGCCTCCCTGGGACTCCGGTACTCAAATCATCAGTGGTTATCGACATTGACGGAAACGGCTTAATCGCGCAGTCAGTGGCGCTCGTGCATCAAAGCTATCGCCTTCACTGCGTAGCTACCCAATTTCCAAACAAACTGGGCATGTCTTCGCCTCCGAGGCTTGGTTTTGTATTCCACTTTCCCGTTTTCCGGTGATTGAAAGTGTAGCAGCTGGAACCAGTGTGCCTATGGCACACGGTTTATGGCTGATAAATTGAAAGTGAATTGACTCAAGTGTTGTGAATGAGATGTAGGGCGTTGAATCTGCCTGATGTTGACCATATTGCTTTGTCAGTTTCGGGTCATTCAAACACTTACACTAGCTTAACTGAAAATGTTGAGTTGGGTCGTTCAGTTTTGGTGTCCTCGCTGCAGGAGGCTACCATGTATCTCTCAATGCGTGATGTACCCGTGCTACGACGGTTAGTTATCACATCCGACTTCTTTCGTGATAGAGTCTCATGATCTGCTCTTCTCTGACCTCGTGGAATTGAAACACCCTCAGACAGGATTATCGGTATTTGGAACCGGATCTCCTGTCGATGTAGCTAATATGCCGGCAGTATGGCCACTTATCACATCTTTTGCATGACACAATGCTAACCGATCAAACACAGTTGCCCTGAATGACCAAGATGACAACCAAGTGATTCAGTTCCACGCTTCACGCATTTTTAGAGAACATTGGCGTAACTTCGTCTTTTCACACCCACAGTAGTCTTTGTACTTCTCACCTGAAGCCTGGTAGATACTGCCACGTAAAGTGCGATGCGTGACCTCAAGCTGTTTGATTGAAATTGGAGCAGTTGGTTGTGTCAACCTCAGTTTGCCAGTTGACCGGTTGCTCTCCAAACGGAATGGAACTGTAACAACTATGATCTGGTCCATCGCACACTGTTTATTGCGCCGCACCTCTGAATCTGCCAAAGACGGTTTCTATGACACTGTAGGTGCTCTTTTACAAAAGCTCATATATCGTTGTGGTTGGTGGTGATACACGCGCCCAAGTAGTTAGTATCAGGAAGGTCAGCTTCCTGAAAGCAACCACTGAATGCCCGAAATCTACCGAGACTCAGGTCCGCTAGATGTTAACCAGATATGCAGCGCGTCACAGCCTTGTATCAAACCCAAACAGCGCGAGTCAGCGTTGATCAAGGTCAGACAACGCCCCCGCAATATGCAGCACGTCGCAGCCAGACCGTGTTCGTCAGCATTGTATCAAGTTCAGACAGTGTCCTTCCAATAAAAAGCTTGAGGCCGTTGTACTTTTCGCAGTTGCACGCACTCACGTTCTCGCACCCACTTTGTTGGAATATAGCTATTGTGTTCCCTTCCGTGAGCCTTTTTCTGTCCGAGACTAGGCACTGGTGCGGGTCAGCAGCAGATACCACAGGCCGGCGAATCAGCAGAAATAGCGGTTAGACTAGGCGTTGCTGAGACCCTGTTGTCTCAGTGACTCAATGGTTAGGGTGGTTAGAGTGGTTGATGTCGGAAAGTCCCGTAGTTCGAACTCGACTTCTGTCTCTCGAGTTCCCTTTTCTAGGCTTGAACAACCTGGCAGTATCCTAGCCCTCGTGCCTCCTGGATTCATGGCGGTTATACATCGAAAAGGTGCCACAGCTGAACGGGATCCAGTTCGTTGATCATCTTGGATTGGATATGAGGTGGACGCGCATCATCTTCGGGAGCACATCATCAGTGTTTACCATTGATCCTTCGCTGCCGTACATGGTTTTACGTGGGCTTGGATATTTCCAGGGTGCCCCAGACCTACCAGGAGGTCGAAAGCTTGGCGTTAAGGTAGCAGTGTTTGTCGCGAAGTGCAGGTGCATTCCCATTCACACAGAGCAAGTCACCACACACTTTCCAACCGGGTCTACGCGAAACGCGCACATCTCGCTTAGTTAGTCATTGAGAAGCTAGTAGGCCCAGCACTCAAACCGAGCTTTCAGAACTGACTCATCGAGTGCCCACCGGGTGGTACAGTGTCGGATATTAACGATCACTGGAAACAGATATCCAGATCGCTACTCAAAACCGGAACTTCTGTTTGCGGTACAACCCAGTCAGCCTCACTCGAACACTGGATCTCTGATAGGATCGTGTCTTTGCTGGAGGCCCGGTGACGGATTCCCCCTGGCCGAAACCACAACGCAACCCGACGAATCATGCGACGCCAGGTGACACTGAATGTCGATGCAAACCCAGAAGCTTGGTGGACCCGAAAGGCCGAAGAAATGGAAGATGCAAAAAATGGTGGAAACGTCCGCAAGCCATTCCACTGGATTCTTTCACCTGGTCCCCATAAACCTCTTGACAGAGAAATTATTAGGAACCAGCGAAGTAGGATGTTTGGACCGCTGGACACAATGCTTCGAACAGCAATTCTCTCCCCCTACCTTATCCGGACTGCCGGCCTTCAACACGAGGGTGGACTGTGAATATGAAACTGCCTTCAACCTCAGGAGTGTCCACGTTTTTTTTCTGTACTTAGACGCCAAGGTCCTGATGGCCTTCCACCTACTCTGTTCAAGGATTCTGGTGGGTTTCTCAGCCAATGCCTGTCTAGCCTACTTGGGTCTATCTGGGAGAAAGAGACCGCCAAAGACAACTGAACTGAATCGATAATAGTGCTTATTCTGAAAAAGACTGTTGGTTTGTGACAAAGCTTCTGGTGTCATTGGTATGCCGTAGAAGTTTGTGCACATCATCCGTCCCTATATCCACATACCTCTGAGCGTGCGGGACTGTGTGGTTAGTCCTCTAAAACCTCCTCTACAGAAAGTGGTGTCCGACAAGAATGTGCTCTCTCTCTGCATTCTCGTTCAACTTCATCATTGGTGAAAAGATGAGGCGAATATTGGAAGGTCTTCAAAACCGCGGGTGTACGCAGGTGATATCGTCCTCATCTTTGAAGACACAATCTCCAGTGAATTAATAGTCACCATCATTTGTTCAGCTGTAACACCCTTTCGGTGCCTAACTGCTATGCCACCCGAAGGAAGCACGAGGGGTGGGATACTGCCAGGTCGCCCAAGCCTAGACAGGAGAAGTCGAGAAGGCGGAGGTCGGGTTCAAACCACGGACCTTCCGGTCAGTAAATCCGCACTCCAACCACTGACCTATCTGATATGTGGCCAATAGACGTGGACCTTGTGGACAGATGATTTGAGGCGTATTCAGGCTTTTTATCACCGATACCTCAGAAGCGTTGCTGATATCGAATGGCGATGGCAATGGCTTGGCCGTGTGCTACCCATGCCGATAGATCTACCGAGACGAATGTTGTTCTCCGTGGCTCATGCAGAATGCCTCAAATCGCGAGATGGAAGTATGGCTATGAGACTAAATGTTTTTTGTGGGCTTTTTATCACCGATACCTCAGAAGCGTTGCTGATATCGAATGGCGATGGCAATGGCTTGGCCATGTGCTACCCATGCCGATAGATCTACCGAGACGAATGTTGTTCTCCGTGGCTCATGCAGAATGCCTCAAATCGCGAGATGGAAGTATGGCCTCGAGACATGATGGATGCGGTCCCCGCCTACGTTTGGCTGAAGACATTGCACGAAACGACCGCTGGTACATATCAATGGTATTCGAGCTCTCAGTTTGTTTCCAAACTGTATGATTGGCCAGAATCGGAAGTGAAGGCTCCTCAGGATGCTTACGGTAGACCAGAACCAGGTCCGCTCTCTCACCTACTTTTTTATTCTGTTCACTGTAAAGCTATACATTTGTTAGATAAACTGCGGTTGTACGTCAGTGAAACATCTGTCCCTGATTATGATGCTGGTGATGTACATATTAGCGAGCGTTTGCATCTGTAGATTGAAAATCATCTGCGAGTCACAAACGGTCATAAGCGGTGATCTTTATCTACTTCGTCAGTTATTTGTCGCCAAAAGTCTCTTTAACTGAATCTATTTCCGTTAGGATACACTCCATTTCTACCACCTAATGACGGTACTCTAGACAGATCACTTTCCGGCCTCTCCTGAGAGGCTATTTTTTCCATCAAGCACGTCGCCGGTAGGTGCGTTAATTTGGTTCTCTTGAGGATGACAGGAGTTCACTATTCCGTGGGTTTTGCTATGCTGTTTGTCAAAGCTAGTCACTGACTTCCCAGGTGCATAAGCTGGTTGTGAGTCAGCGTCATCGTACTGTTTACGGTATTTCTTATCTTTTTTCCCATTGTTAATCCTAGGTAAGTATGGCCCACTAACTATCTAGGCTTGGGCAACCTGGCAGTATCCCAGCCCTAGTGCTTCCTTCGTGTAGCATGGCGGCTAGGCACTGAAAGAGTGATACAGGTGAACGAGAGAGGGAGAGAGAGAGAGATGACCCACTAAAATACTCACTAGGCCGGCTTGTACTTTACTTACCTCATGAGCTAAGCAACTCTGGTTTAGAATGTACGCTTGCCCAAGCACTGTATGTGTCAGTTTCTATCTTCATCGTCTCGTCTTCCGTGAATGCATCATCTCTCCGCTCTACTCGAACCATCCTGTAGGACCCACGCACGTCAGTCTGTACTGAACGCTTTGCTTCGCACCAGCCCTGATACAGCCTCCGCGATCACCATGGTTGTGACAGCCATTTCTTCCAGTGATTTCCTCGTCAGTTGCCACGCCCTTGCTGAATTGGATATGGTTTTGCGGGGTACGTTTTCATGATTGTCTTTCCTTGTACTCATCGCGTGATTTTTTGCATCTCGACTCCGTTGAACATAGTACGTGGTTGATGTTCTGTGTCCCCGCCTGTTCCTTCCACCCAGAAGCGAGGTGAATGTTTACAGTTTATTCTACACAGATGATCGTTGATTTGTTCGCCAAACCAGGCGGTTCAATTACAAGCGTTTTACCGACAGAGAGATGACATCATCGGTGTGTCTCTGTGTAGCGGAGCAAAGCAATCAGCTGGTGATTGTGCGCCTAATGGTCGTACACGTCTTTCGGTATACATGCCGCTAGCCGAGACTGACCCGTTACGAATGAATGGGAGCAAAGCCCACATGGACACTGACTAATCATAACTAACTGAACATTCTGTCGTAACCGACTACCAGCCCCGACTAGCAGCGCGCATGTTAACCTTCACACAGCCCTACTCCGCGACAATCTAATGATGTCATCTTGATTGATGATGCAACGTTTACGACAGTTTCCGGTTCAGCGAACAAACCAACGACCATTTGAGTTGCACTTTGGAATACATTTTCAAATTAACCGGTCGCCAACGTTGCCTCCGGTAATAATTGTTACTCGCTCCTTGCGGAATCCCTTCTCCCAGCGCGGACACAACATGTAACGACAAGCAATCGATTGTAGTAAAATTTTCATGAGAACGTTCGGTCCTATTTGAATGAAAGCACACGCAAAACTAAGGGAGTCTCATTGTTCTCTCCATTCCCATCGTACACTGCGTAACCAAGTGCACGACGTTTGATGCTCCACATGGGAAATGACTTCCTTTTTCACCGTGGGCCGCCAATTTCTAGGGTAGGGTGCAAAGTATCCCTTTCAGAGAGGCTACTTTCCGTTTCACGTGTTTCTTCGGAGTGATTCTTGTCTAACAGAAACTGGCCGATGCGCTTTTTCAAACCATACTTTAAGACATACACTAACAAATTTCACAGTCGTTATTCCACTGTGGAGCTAACTACCTTGTATTCCGTTATATTCGACAGGTTAGTTTGATTTGTAACGTTTATGTACGCTGCGCATTACAAATGCTGTTCCCTCAGTGATGTTTGTCGATGATACGCAAGTGCTAGGCGTAGTCGCCTCAAGACTGCTTGCACGCTGAAATTACCAGACAAAGTGTATTTCTGGTTTTCGCTGAATCTGACGATCCACTCGATCGCATTCCCTAACCCACCGTGCGGTGTTCTACTGGGTCGTCGATCGTGTCATCATCATCATCATCATCGACAACATGACATCAGTGTTTAACACCGATACCTCGCTGCCGTACAACCGTGATTTGTTTGAAAGCTTTATTGTAAAGAAAAGAGTAAAGGTGGACGGAGAAAGGACTTAGTGCAAGCTTGACACAATCATTCCGAGGTGCTTACACCTCCAGACATTCACTCAAGTAATCTGGATAGAAACTGACAACAAGAATTCCACTGACATCGGTTGGCAGCCATATCTTGTACTGTCTCCAACCAGACACAGTGGGGATCACGCGGTCCCCATTCTGGAAAGCGAGTAGCACCGACAGCACCCAAGCGTTTCGTGATCTCCTTCATACTCCCGGGGAGAATTTTTGATCGTTGGGCAAAGTTCTTTTAACAACATTTCGATTGACTAACTCATCATCATCAACAACATGACATCAGTGTTTAACACCGATACCTCGCTGCCGTACAACCGTGATTTGTTTGAAAGCTTTATTGTAAAGAAAAGAGTAAAGGTGGACGGAGAAAGGACTTAGTGCAAGCTTGACACAATCATTCCGAGGTGCTTACACCTCCAGACATTCACTCAAGTAATCTGGATAGAAACTGACAACAAGAATTCCACTGACATCGGTTGGCAGCCATATCTTGTACTGTCTCCAACCAGACACAGTGGGGATCACGCGGTCCCCATTCTGGAAAGCGAGTAGCACCGACAGCACCCAAGCGTTTCGTGATCTCCTTCATACTCCCCTGCCAAGTCAAGGATTGGCCACCTCTCTGTTTACGCCACTCTGAATCGGGCATGGAAAACGATGGTTCCGCATGCGCAACACATGTCTCAACCAACGCAGCTTCTGGTGCTGGACACATTCTTCAATGGAAGTACCCCTCGCACAACCGAAAACGCGCTTTCTAACTGCCTCATTACGGATACGCCGACACCAACCCAGACGAGCTATGGTTCTGAGACAACGATTGTCGAACACCTGAAGACGTCTCAGTTCCGCTGCTCGAATAGACCAAGTCTCACAGCCATACAACAAAACACCTCGTATTATAGCTTGTACAAAATTCCGAAGTGCACTGTAGATTTGGGTAAATCCCTTTTCGAGGCAGGCTGCCAGGAATCATCGGTCTTGGAACAAGCAACTTCGCTATCCGGCTATGGCGACCATTTTTCGTCAGTTCTGCGAAGCGGTGAAGCTCTTTACGGCTTTTGATCCCAGTAGAATATGTGCCAATGCGTGTTCGATTGCTAGACTGTCCGTACGGATCAGCCGGTTTTGGGTGGGTGATGATAAAATCTACTTGATGCTATGTGTGAGGCATGATGTGTTGAGTATACTATATACAAATTGTGCGCAGACCCTCTTCGACGTGTTTCAGAAAACCAAGGTGAAACTTTCATAAAGGTTGCTGACAGGTTGCTTCGACAGCCCAAGACCGGTTTCGCCCTTCTTGGGGCTCATCACATAGAACATAAGGTTGACGGAAACTCGAGGACTGTGCCTACCTGATGAGCCGCAAGAAAAGCGAAACCGGTCTTGGGTTGTCAAAAAGTTTTTAGCAACCTTGTGAGTAGTTTCCTTTACGAAAGTATACTGCGATATCTCGAATATCGTGCCAACTGAAACATGAGGCGGCTTATGTGCAGCGCATTCAGTTGTAGAATATCATAAACGAGAGATTCAGTTGAGTCTGTCGTGAAAACCAAGTTGATTTACAAATGAGTGTATTCCTCAAAGTGAAATTTGTTTAATAGAACAAGGTCACAGCTAGCTTCAACAAGAATAATGAGCAATCTACGCTTGTAACTCACCCTCCGGTGTTGATCGGTTGGTCACGATCTTTGACGACTGCCTACACTACACAACTAATGTTGACCAGTCAATTCATGCTGGTAGCTATTTATAGCGTGTCAGGGGTTCAGCTGCATCCACGGTATTCATTAGGGCTCATTTCCGCGATTTGCTCTACAATTGAGTAAACGCCCCGGCGTCTTTCGCCTGATTGATGGTAAGATGTTTAATTTGCGTGTGTTGTGCAACCAACCGATTCCACAGTTGCTCCATCCTTCTCATTGCCCTGTGTGGTTTCCTGTTTCTTTCGAATATTTATAATTCCACTTCAGATGACAAATGGAGTCTTTTGGTGAATCACGTGAACCAGATCCTCATGCTGATCACAATGCAGTTGAAACAGGTGACCACGCGGTATTTCGGCGACCCCACGGTGTCGGGTGATGAGCTGCGCACGTTGCTTCGTTGTCACCTTGCAACCATAGATTCAGTGAGTGATGTTTTTCGATACTCTTCTGGGTATTTTTCACACCTTTGGATTTTTATCTTTCCGTTCCGGGTAGGATCCCTGTTTTCCCGGACTCGTTTTGTTCAGCTGTAGCATCGTTCCGTGCCCTAACTGCCATGCCACCCGAAGGTTGCACGAGGGCTGGGATACTGCCAGGTCGCCCAGACCTAGACAGGGGAAGTCGAAAGGCAGAGGTCGGGTTCGAACAACGGACCTTTCGGTCAGTAAATTCTCGCTCTAACCACTGGGGCCACCTCGCCCGCGGACTATTTACCAGATAAGGGCCGGTCAGCATGTGTTTTGTCGGTTGTCAGTGCGGTTGACGTCGATCTGTTTGCATAGATCAACCGCCACTTGATCAGCAACCGAATAGCGTACCCCAGTTGTCAATGTTTCGGCACTGTACCAGGGGTTTTTCCGCAGTGCTCGTTAGTAGAGCATCCTGGCAGTATCCCAGCCCTCGTGCAACCTTCTGGTGGCATGGCAGCTAGGCACCGAAAGGGTGCTACAGCTGGACGAGTGCAGTTGTTTTTCAAGGTCAGTTACCATTAGTTAGGAAATCAGTAGGACAGCTCAAAAGATGTTAACATTCCTTGTACTTTCTTCAGTTGTGGGTGCTAAACGTGCAGCTTTCATCAGACAGACAGATAGCCAATAACGGGAGAAGCTGACACTGCCGGGTGGGAATAAGTTAAGTGGGGTCTCAGTGGTTAGAGGGCGAATTTACTGACCGGAAGGTCCGTGGTTCTAACCCAACTTCTACATCTCGACTGCTCCTGTCTGGACTTGGGCCACCGGACAGTATCTCATCCCCCCAGCCCTCTTCAGATGGCATGGCAGCTAGGCACCGATAGGGTACAATGGCTGAACGGTTATTATTAGTAAGATTATTTCCAGTATTATTCACTATCACCTGCCAAACGTACAATCATCACTACGCCCGAAACCAATGGGAGGACTCTCAGACTGCTCACCCGGGAAAACGACCCTGCATGCATACTGCAATAACGGTACTGCCTTTGCTCCCTCTCTCTCTATTCCTAATCCTTTCAAGCTAGTTTTTTTTATCAGAAGAACCACCAAGAGGGCCAACAATTATATTGACGTCCAAAATAGGCCGAAGGCACAAGTACAACGCCTCGTATTTATGCAACGACAACATACTTTAAATTCGGATGCCTTCTGGATGTGCCATTGGCGACCAGCATTCAGCTGATATTGAGACATGATTTTCCGTTTAGTCCATATTTTCAGCTGACCGGCGCTCTCCTCGGTGCTGGACCGGCATGTAGCCCTACCTTCTGACCAATCATGTGCGGCTTAGGTTTCCCGGCCGTAGCAGCGCTTAACTGAGAGTGGTAAGGCAGTTTTAGTGCACGGTTTCTCCTAACCCTGATGGACACCTGTCCTCCTCTGATCCGATATTTTTCCGGGCGAGCAATTCATCGCGCGCGTTGTTATTGTTAAACAGGATCGCCGTTTGAATAACGTCGGTGTGTCCTTATCCAAGAATTCTCAATGCGAACTCACTTCAGCATTATCGGTCTCAGAGATAAATAATCAACCGCTTTGTCGCAAGTCGAACGGCGTCTTCACTTGCATCGCGCAGAGCATATATTTACACATCTGCACGAAACATCCCCCTATTCCGTCCCGGGCTGTCATGATAATGGGCAACAATACAGTGTTCCTTATTTTATTCCAACAATGCCTTCGGAAGATCGAGTGACCAACGAATGATTTCGGTGCTCGTTAGATGATCACATTCGTTCTTCATGTGGCACCAATCACTAGGACTTGAACGTGCCTCTTTTCATCAATACAGAACTGGAGAGAAGCGCGGCGGTTGCCCTGGGAGGATACGTGATGCACTGACGATAAATTTCATGTTTGTTAGCCCATCATAGAGATCCAAACAAAGTGACTGTAGCTGGCCAGGGACGCTTTCCGATGTGACACAGAATCTGAACCGACGGTGTACACCTGACTTACCGACCATTCGTAATTTGAAAATGGTTTTCACAAGTTTTCTTTCGTATCGTGATATATATATATATATATATATATATATATATATATAGTTCGTTTCCGAATAGATATGCCATACCAAACGAAGCCATTTCGCGCTACGCGGCATGCGAATCCAACCAAACTCCCTCTGTCCGACGTAAACCGGGAAAAATAAGACCGGAGGTTGAAAAAGAAGGGCTGGCTAGTTCGGCAGCCATCAGGATGATCAGCTAGTGGCTCATAACTCTCGATTGGTGTGGGTACGGTTGGACATCTGAGTCAGGTATGGAAAAGGTGATCTGGTGGCCCACACCATTCATAGGGAACATCCAAGGCACACAGATGATTAGCTAGTATGTGGTAGCCAGGTCTGTACAACGATGTTCACAGAGTTATCTCTGGCACAGAGGCTTGGGTTATAGTAACCTCCGGATAGAAGCAAGTGTCTAGATATGTCATCTATGATTAATTCTGTGCAGCGATTTTGATACTTGGATCTTGACCCCTTATGTTTTGAAGAGTTCGACCGCAGGGTTTACATCGCTTCTGTCATTTTTTGCACCGTTGATAAGTGAACGCATTCACACATGTTGAGATTTCACTACGTTTTTAGGTTAACGAGCAGACGTGGTATTTGAATCACGTGACTCAATCACGCACTAACTTCCGCAAAACTATTCTTTCGTTTGATCGTTGTTTTGATATCGAAGCAGGCTGCAACCTCGTGTTTATTGAAAACCTACACAATGAGCTTTTCGTTTCAAAAGTTCTTGTTTTTTTTTCACGGAAACTCAAGTTTTCCTCTTTGATGTAATGATTGCCCCTTAGTTGTGTGTCTGTACTCGTGATCATCAAACAGTCGCTCATATCATTCAGTTCCTCGTACTGTGCTTGTCTCTTGGGACAACCGAGCGGTTTAGAACACTATTGTACGCTTTTTCTCAGGAGGGATGTGTTCCTTGTGACGTTTCGCAGAACACGTCATCATCATCAGCAAAGACAGCAACATCAGTGTTGCCACTGATGCTTCACTGCCGTACAACTATAACGTTTGTCTAGTTATATATATATATATATACATATATATATAAAGATATATATAATTATATTAAAAGC